CAAATCCACAGACTTCTCCACTCAGAAAAACATGTTCAGCCAAGCAGGTCCCGGCAAGGATATATGTTCTATATTATATAGTTTTAATTTTTTTTTTCATTGCATTGTGTTTTTCTCATTTTATGTGCATGAGTAAAATCTAAAGGAGCACTGGTCAGAGGCTCTAAGTCTTTACATGGCTCAAGGCAGCAGGCATATGAGTGAAACCCTTTTGGATCAAACTAGCCTGTCTACTGTCCCATCTCATCAAGGCCAAAACCTATCATCTTCCCACTAATCGTTAGCAGATAATGGAGGCCATTCAGCACAGAATTTGCTGAACTCTTCCCCCAGTTTGGGCCTATCATCCACATGCTGTTAGCTCCTCTCCATTTTTGGTGGAAGAGGTAGTCTTTCACCTGGTTCTGGATTTCACAGCTTTCTGCAGGGATGCCAAATCCATCACCAACCCCCTCCACCACCACCCACCATCACCATTAGCTACAGCTATGAGGAATTAAAATTCTTTGACTTTCCTCCAAGTGAGGGGTGGAGTTCATGCTCTCTCCCCTTGGACTTTGTGACTACTTGACCAACAGCATATGGTAGAAGTGGTACTGGGTCAGTTTCTAGGCCCAAGCTTTATGAGCCTGGCTGCTTCCACTTTAAGTCCCTTTCTTGGAACTCTCTCTTGGCTTCCTGAGTTACCACCTTAGAGGTCTAGAACCCTAAAACTGCTATGGTGTGAATATTCAGTTGACAGCTCTTGCTAAGCTCAGTCTTCCAACATCCCTGCAAATGTGCCAGATATGTGATGTCTTGGACCCACCGACCTGGACCATCACTAGATGAAAACTACCAAATAACCTCAGTTAATGTCTTGTAGGAGAAGAATAGCCTTGCTGAGCTCTGCTCAAACTGCTAAGCCAAAAGACCCACAAGAAAATGGTGGTTATTTCAAGCTAATAAATTTTGTTTCCATTTTTTATGCAGCCGCTGATAACCAGTACATGAGCATCTGCAAGACTTGCTCTTTCTCTTCAAGTGGTTTTCTTTTTGTAATATAATGTACTCATAGTCAAGTATGACCTTCTCTTTACTTTTATTATTACATTTTTCATTTCTCTTTCTGCAAGTGAACAAACTATATAGCTTACGGCAGTCCTTAAATAACTATTAATAGATATTTTTAATGTGTATTTTTAATTAAAGTTTTAGTTTTAATAGATCATAAATCAAAAAAAGAGAAATTTATTTAAAACTTAAAGCCAGGAAAAAGATTAGGATTCAGTTCAAATAGTAGGTAGATGAACCTATCAACAGTTCAAGAGAAGACAAAAGCCTTAAATATGGAAATCAAAGCAAAGAAAATCAGTAATGTTTTAGTCTAAAGTCAAAAAATTCTATTTCACTAGTTCAGACTCACGTAATTAATCTCTCTTCTATTGAATTTGCAGTGTTACCGTGGTCTGATCTTTCCATTTAAACTCTGGAAGTTAACATTCAACTCTGGACTTGTCCCTACCATTAGGCTGGTCATTCTCTAGGTTGTTTCTTGTACTCTTACTTCTGGTTGTCAAACTTTAGTTTTCCTGGTATAGCACTATCTTCAGAACTTTTTGGAGAGCTGGCCTGGTGTTGGTAAATTCTTTCAGGTTTTGTTTATCTGAGAAAGTTTTTGTCTTTTATTCCCATATGAAAGATAATCTTGCTGGATATAATATTCTTGGTTGAAATTGTTTTTCATTTAACACTTAGCATATATTTTCCCATTCTTTCCTTGCTTGCTTTGTTTCTGAAGAGAGGTCCAACGTTAGCCTTATGGGATATCCTTGGAAAGTAATTTGACATTTCTCTCTTGCCAATTTTAGTGTCTTGTCTCTGTGGTTTTGGTCAATCTGGCTATGATGTGCCTTGGGGGAGATCTTCGTGGGTCAATTCTATGTGGGGTCTTTTGTATTTCTTGGGTTTGGATATTTGAGTGCCTCTCTAGGTTTGGAAAGTTCCTCCAGGATTTCATGGACTAGATTATCAATGCCCTTATTAGTTTCTCCACACTCTGGGATACCGATGATCCAAATGTTTGGGTGTTTAATGGTATCTAGTATTATTCATATGTTATTCTCATTTTAGGGGGTTACTTTCTCAGACTTTTTGGTGAATTTTTCTAGCTCAGAGGTTCTATCTTCTCCATCTGAGATTCTGTCTCCTGCATGATCTAATCTTCTTTTGACATTTTCAACAGAAGTTTTGATTTTCTGTATTACAGCCTTTATCTCTAACAATTCCATTTGATTCTTTTTCATGATGTGTAGCTCCTCTTTCAGATTATGTAAGAACTTCCTCACATCCTGGAAACTCAGTGTCTCTTTTCTTCTGTATCTTCTGGAGTTTGTTATTTTATCCTCTTATATCTCTGTTAGCTTTGTCACTATGAATATTTTAAATTCTTTATCTGATAGTTCCATGAGTTCCCTTACACACTTTGTGGAGGAAGAAGAGTTATTCTTTTCCACTAGAGGAGAGATATTTTCTTTGTTTCTCATACTTCTTGTGCCTCTGTGGTGGATTCTGGTCCTCTGATAGATTATACCATTTTCCCCCTATTTTTTGGAGTTAAATCTGAGATTTCAGAGGAATACAAAAGAAGGTTGATGGTGAAATCCCTGAGGCTGCTTGGAACTCAAATATAAATGGCTCCTAATTGTCTTATCTTGGATCCTAGCTAGATTGGGGAGCAGGAGGTTGAAGTCTGGACACACACACACACACACTTAAGAAAAAAAAATAGAATTGTAAATGCAGCCCATTCAGTAAGGAAACAGTTATGTGCTTCCACATAGTCTGTGGTGTGAACCTGTGGCTGACTCTAGCAGGGCAGCCTCTTTGGTGCCCTTAGCCATTCCAGAGATAGCACCAGCATCACCAAATCCTAAACATGTTATTTGCATTGTCACCTTTATTTATTTTTGTCCCTGTCCTTCCCACTTTACAGCTGAAATTATTGAGGCTTAGTGACTTGCCACACATAACACAGCTAGAAATGGCACCAGAGTTTAGGCCAGTGCTCCCAACTCCATATCTATTATACCCAGATCAGCTACAAAGAAGAGCAGCACTTTCAATGAAAATTCTAAGCAAATAGAATCAAGATTGTGAAGCATTTCTTCAAAGGACTACAATAGGAGATGATACATAGCTTTATCGGTATGATCCTAAAGACAAAGCAGCAGCTACCAAGAGGGAGAAGTAGTACAACGTAAAAGCTGATAGACCAGTAAAGAGTAAAGACCTTGCTCAGTTTTTTGGAATGTTCAAGGCATTTTGACTTCCTGTATAGCCAAAAAATAATAATGCCTGGTTATTATGATACTGTTTTGAAAAAGTTAGCTGAAGCATTAGCAGAAAGATGCCTGGGAAAGCTTCACCTGAGTCCTTCTCTACCACTACAGTGCTCAATGCTCCTGCTTCTTCCACTCATAGAACAAGGTCAATTTTGTGGGAGTTTCAATGGGAAATCACTAGACACATACCTTACAGACTTGAGTTAGCTTATTCTGACTTCTTTTTGTTTCCTAATTTCCCAGAAATCTTTACATGGTATCCTTTTTCTTCTTCAGTTAATATAAAAAAGGATCACATTGATATGGTTAAATTCCCAGGACCTTCAATTCTTTACTGACGGACTAAATGGCTTGTATCCTCACTTAAAAAAGTGTCTTGAACTTAATGGAACTTATGCTGAGAAATAAAGTTTATATTTTTTATTTTTTAAATTCCATTTTTTCTGGGACCAACAGTTGGCGTAATGGCTATGTTGCTGAACTCCCATGTAGTCGACCGCGGTTCCAGTCCCAGACCCGGTGGCTCAAATTCATGCTGGGCGCATGTGTGTGCATGCCCAAGATCCCAAGAGGAGAATGGAGGAAAAGGGATTGAGGTGTGGCAGTCCCCCCTGGGGGATAATTTCTCACTTTCTGTCTGTCTGTTTGTCTCTGTCTTTCTGGCAAACACACACACCCTACAGCAAAAACCTCTCCAAAAAAAAAATTCCATTTTTTCCACAAATTTTTTAAGTCCCCTATCTATCTATTCCTGCATCCACTGCTTCAAATAGATGCTGTGTCCTGATACCTCTAAATCTGTATTTGTAGTCCAGACTTTTCTCTAGAACTTAAGGGCCAACTCTCTACTCCATTTAAACTTGGAGGTATTCAAACTAAACAGGAGCAAAAACAAAATTATATTCACCAGATTGCCAACCTACTGTACATCCTAGTTAGTCAGTAGTACCACCATTCACTTAAGAGTTATACTTGATTCATCCTTTAGCCATGCTCATATTGATTCTACCTACTTATATAACAAGAATTGATAGATTCCTCTCCCAGCCCATTTCTAACAATATAAATCATGAATCTTACCATGCATTATAAACTCCCTGAGTCTCTAGCCTCAATTCACTCTCCACATTCTGCTTCAGTGTGTATTCCATGCTGTCAGTCCCTTCCTATCACTCCTTTGCTAGAATCCTCTAGTGGCTCCCCAATAATCCAGCTTGCAATGAGAATCCTGTAACATGGCATACCCTGCCCCTACCCACTGCCTCTCATCTTTTTGTCTCCTCTCATTGAGTCCTCTTAGCCAACCGCATGGAAGTTCTTGAGTTCCACAGATGCACTGTACCGATACTGTCCTCTCTGACTTCTAAACCAAGTGAATGGCAACTTTTTGTTGAAAGCTCAATTTAGCTATCCCTTTAAGGAAGCTTTCCCTGCCCTCTCATTTTGTCTTGGACACTGTTCCAGTGTTCTTACTCTGTATTCCTCTCCTCATGACATACATTAAAACATAGTTTTGTTGAGTGACTGAATGAGAAAAGAGTGACATCTATTCAGTTGTCAGATTTACTAGTTTCAATTAGACTTTTAACAATATTATAAAAATAATGAAACTCAACAAAATGACTTCTCCCTACAAAAGAATAATGCTAAATAATAAAGGGTTGTATCAAAATTCACCTTCTCAGTTTTTCTTTGCTTGAATGAAGAAACGAAATCTGTTTGCTTTTCTCAAAACCTGACAATGGAGCATTTAATTCAAGCTCATTGAGATTTCTTAAAGATTCGGAGCTAGAAACAAGAGAAAAACCATACCAAATATTAAAGAGGAAAATCATCAGGCAATATTAAATAAAAATTACCAATACACTAATCAAAGAATGCTTCTCTAAGTCTCTTACTTCATACAAAGGGTTGATAAATTTGAAAGCACTTGACCTTACACATTTGGTACAGAATAAATTATTTCAAAATTTCAAAAGAATACACATATATTACCCCAAACAACATAAATTTAATAACTGATAAAACTCATAAAATATATTGATAAAGAATAACAGAAACTAGAAAATTTAAAACATTCTGACCTTAGGGCTAGCAGGTGGCTTAGTAGTTAAGGCACTGGACTTCCACGCGGTCAACTGCAGTTCGAGTCTCAGACCCAGTGGCTTGTAATTCATGCTGGCATGTATATGAATGACCAAAATCCTGAGAGGAGAATGGAGGAGAAGGGATTGCTATGTGGCTATCCCCCCCAGGGGGTGATTTCTTACTTTCTGTTTCTCTGTCTCTCCAGCAAAAACACACACCCTATAGTCAAAAACAAACAAACAAACAAAAAACTCAAAAAAAAAATATTATAACCTCAAGGATTATGACTATCCCAAAAGAAAGATACATTAAAAATAAAAGCATAAATGAGTAGAGGATCAAGACATACTTTATTCCAGCTTATCAGCAAAGGGTGGTTCCCTCCACTTTAAATTTTGTCATTTAAGGGATATTGTTTGGCTCTACAAGTCTACACCTTCTCCAGGCATTTTGATGTTTTAAAAAATATATATTAACTTAAGAAACTGGCAAACTAATCCTATTTCCTTTATCTCAAAAGACATAACATGATTTTAAAATTTACTTTTTATTTAAAGTGGTAAGGTTTTGAGGAAATACAAAAATTAGAGATGAACAGAGATCAAAAATTAACTGTAATATAAGAACATCATAAAACCTTCCAAAACCCTTCCCAGCCTCATACCCCAGATAAGGTTTCATAGAGTAAATTTCTTTGAGGTCAAAATGTTAAATAATATCACAAAACTGTTGATATTGCTGCACTACCCTAAGTAAGCTCATCTTTGGTTTAACCACACTTCTGCATTGCTGAGTCCCTTCCTGTTCAAAGTAGTAGATGACTACATTCTACAAATTCTGCAAGTGGCTGACTTAAAACCCCGCCATCATGAGGACCTGTGTTCTCAGAAAATACATTCACCTTTTGAGGCCCTATGATCTATTTAAAACTTCCTGGGAAATCAGTTTAAAGGTAAAAAAAAAAAATCATAAAAATTAAATTTGTATAAACATACATTATACTAGCACTGGAAGGCCTGGTCTCTAGTTCAACTGCCCACTGAATGCAGGCATGAATGCCTGAGAAAGAAGAAAAAGTGAGGGAAGGAAAGAAAGAAACAGAGATATTAAAACTTGCCTCATATACCCAACAAGGTTACTCTAAAAGCTACATGAGATATGTAAAAGAAGTTCTAAACTTATTTTTAAGCCATTTTCAATAGTTGGGGGTTAGGTTCATGAACTCAAGAAAGACAACAGGAAAAAGGTGAGTGATAAGGGGATATGAGATAAGACTACTCTGCTTAAATGCCAGGGTTCCACATTAAATCTTGTTGGAAGAAAGGATTCTACAATTTTTTTAATATCCTTGCTACTATTTAACTTAGACTGGTGAAAACCCAGACTCTACTTTACCGCTGATAAAGTTCCCTACCTACTAATGAATGGGGAAGTTAGTACTTTACATTTTGACCTGCTTCCCTGTGGTTAACTCTAATTGTTTGTGAAGTGCTTCCTTATATCTAGTTCAATATTTCTGTAATATGTACCCATTGTTCCAATTTAGGATCCCCAAATACAAAAATGTTGTACCACTCTCCCACAAAACAGCCTCTTCTTCCTTTTCTATCAATTCCAACACTTGAGCCAGGGTTCTACAATCAACACCTTATCCAGAAAATGTAATTAAATGCACATGGAAAACATTGTTATTATAAAAAAGTACTAAACTAACCAGGTCAATAAATCAGTAGAGAAGTATCCTAGCTGTTCACTGCAGGACTTCTGCAGAGGAAATCCAGGTTCTTCAGGAATCGTAGCATTTTCATTTTTACCTGAAGGTTGTAAAAAGGGTGACCACCTTAATTCTAAAATCACTCATAGGGATGATGCTAGTCAAACATAGAAGTCCCAATCCTTAAAGCAGTTGTCAGTTTTTACTCAATAAATTTCTACAAAACAGTGTTTTTAAAATAGAAAGCAACTTAGAGATTTCAGTCTGTGAAGCATGAAACCACCCAGGTTAGAAAGTAAAATTAAAATACCATATATTATTGATCCCTGGATATCCTTTTTCAATCATATTCTAGTAACTTAGCAACAAGTGTACTTAAAACACATTCATCTGAATTTATTTATCAAGTTCCTATTTATAGGTAAATGTCAAGAGAAAGAAAATATGCATGGGTCTTCAATAAGCAGCTGCACTGCAAAAATACAGCATCTGAAAAAGATTTTTGTTTTTTGCAGCTGCTCATCCTCAGAGCAAAGACGAGACAACTGGAAGCAGACATGGTCATGACCACTAGAAGGGTGCTGGACAGGTGATGAGCAGCTGCTCTATGTCCACTGAGAACCAAATAAGAAAAGGTTACAAAATAGATCATGGTCGCCATGGTTAGCCATTTCCAGGAAGAACTCTGAAACTTCAGGGGCTGGGAGCCATTGGAATGTTACAAAACAAACTCACTAATATTAATATGTTTAAACATTACAGAAAAAGGAGAGATGTACTGAATAGACTATCATCTAGAATATGAGCTCACACAGGATAATCTAGAAAGTGTCTTTCATGCTCATCTCTTCATTTCATGTTATTTACAAATTTTTTTCCAGGTGTAATTTTTTTATTAACTGTATTTTATAATTTTACCCAGGTATAATTGACAATTTGAAATGGTATATATTTAAGGTGTCCAATTTGAGTTGATATACACAAATATATATACATATACATACATAAATGCACACACCTCATACATAAACATACACACACACACACACACACACACACCATTTACCCATTTAATTAATATATCCAGTACCTCATACCTTTTGTGTGTGTGTGGTGAAACACTTAAGATCTAGCATCTTAGCAAATTTCATCAAGTACACAATGAAGTATAGTTAACTGTAGTCACACTGTTGTACATTTGGTCTCTAGAATTTATTAATCTGATATAAAGTGAAAGGTTATAGCCCTTGACTAATATCTCCCCACTTAATATAATCTTAATTTAAAAATACCTCCTAGGTTGTATTTCAGACCTAGAAAGACCAACAATGTTTTCAGCAGAACTTAATTTTGGAAGCTAAAGTTTGTCCCTTTGGTTTGTAAGTCAAATTAAAGCTAACTTAATTAGTTCAAGTGTTTAGACGTTGGTAATACACATCATATATAAGATAAGAAATGTGAGGGCTGGAGCCAGCAGGTGGTGTGGTGGTTAAGGCGTTGGACACTCCCACATGGTTGACCACGGTTCAAGTTCTGACTGACTAAGGTTTGAGTCTCGGACCTGGTGGCTTGCTCTTGCTTGCTCTCTCTCTCTGTCTTTCTCTGGCAAAACTCATGTAAAGATGATAATAATAATAATAATAATAATTTTTTAAATGTGAGAGCTAATTGAAATATTGGTGCTGTCTGTGTCTAAAAATGTAAAGCAAAAAGAGCAATTACCTTATTATCTTAAAGGATTAAAATAATTTATATGCAAGTGTTTCTCAAAGCAGAGAGTATCAAGGTCAGTTCCCCTGGCTTTTAGAAAATCATACAATGACACAGCACAATCAATTCCATTTTAATAACTAAGAAATTAGGTAGCTATTAGGGAAAAAAAAATAGTAACACCATCTTACTACCAAAGCAAACAAAACCTTGTGCCTACCATAACACTGTATTTTTCTTTGTACAGCACAATTTAAACTCTGAAGATGTACATTTTTTCTTCAAAGGTAAAGAACATCTATTTGTTTATTCATACTTGCTTTCTTCAGACTATGATTAACAAAAATAATATGTTCTTTATAGTACAGATAGTACTATGTATAGCAGACAGTTAATCCTTAGCAAATAAAAGGCATAAATGGAAAACTAATTTTAAAATGTATAAACAGTTTTCATAGAATTTTAACTGGAGTTTTTCAAACCTTTGGAAATTTTCACTCACCGGTACTTGAGAAATAGGTTTTCCAATATTTTACCACAATACTCATTTTTTCCAAGGTCAGTGGTTCAGTTAAAGTTATATCAGCTCCATGCCCTGAAATACAACCTAAGAATCTTTATATTAAATAGTGACCTTATGATTTTTATTTGAAAAAAAAAAATACCATATCCAGCAGGCACATACCTTTAAAATTTTCAGAGATTATAAAAACAAACAGCAAACTTGTATTTTTCTTCTTGCCATGTCTGAGAGGGGTGAAAAAAAAAAAGTTAAAATGAAGTAGAATTGTCATTCAATAAAAAACAAGATTCAAGACTTTAGCTTATTAGAAATTAAACTATAGTGACTTTTAGTTCTTTAGAATTTAAAATATTATTAATACGATGACTTAGGAAAAGTAGCGTCTCAAAACAGTGAGGGAAAAGGAAGATCTTTTATTCTTTAAAAAAAAAAAAAAAAAAGGTCTAAACCTTATCCAAATTTGTTTACCTGATCACAAGTTTACAAGAAATTTGGAGGAAAGAGACACAATTTAGATAACAACTATAAGGATGAAATCAGCAAAATCTTGAATGAAATTCTATAAAACTAATTATCCCTTAAATGTAAATACTCACTCGCACACACAACCAGCAGATGGCATAATAGTTGCATTGCTGGACTCTCACATAGTCTACTACAGTTTGAGTCCCAGACCCAGTGGCTTAAAACTCATAAAGGGCACATGTGTGTGTGTGTGTGCTCAAAAATACCAAGAAAATGGAGAAGGGACTGCAACATGACCATCCTCCCTGGGCTGGGGGTGATTTCTTGCTTTCTGTTTCTATCTCTCCAGCAAGCACATGCACCTTACAGCAAAAATCTCTCTAAAAACAAAAACAAACAAATATATATATACAGGTGTGGTATGATCTCGGAGAGCCTCCACTTGATGCCTGAACTCCAGCCAGATGTTGCTCTGACCCACAGCAATAGCACAAGATACCCATCACCAGCACTTGTACAGAGCAGGGAATTCTGGTTTGAGTCACTCAATAGCATTGTGTGTGAGAGGAGCTTGTCTATTCATGGCTTCTTTCCATCACAAAACGGGTAGAAAACACATTCACTGCTTCAGGGTTCTAATCTGCGTGTCTCCTTATGGCTCCCCTTCTGTAAGATTCTCTGTACTTTTTATACATGCTGTGTTTTCTTTAAACAATTACATTTGAAAGATGAGTTTTGTTCAGCAAGCTGGCCATACTGCCATTGTACCCCCTTCTTTTCAGTACAGTTTTAGAGTGCAGCGCAGTTATTAGACCTTCATTGTCTGCTCAGTCGATACACATACATCTTGACTGTTTGAAAGATGTTACAGCTGTCAAAGTCTTCATGGACTCTGAAGAGAATTTCTTGTGAAGTTGAATGCAAGTGTACTGTCATTCATAGTGTTTATATAAAATACCAGGAATCTTCACTTTTGCTACCTTGACATAGCATTGGGCTATCATGTTACAACATTGAAATACACTGATTTATTAAAAAAAAAATACTTTTATAAAAAAAAGCAAAACCAAAAAAGATAAAATTAAATTTTGATTTGCATAAACTCACAGTTTAAAGAAAAAACCATAAGATATCCACAGAAACATGAATACTGATTGGATATTTGATTTAAAAAAAATCAAAGAACTGTTAGTCATTTTCAGATATAATGTTGAAATTGTGGGTTTTTTGTTTTTCATAAGAGTCCTTAATTTAGTCAGGTACTTATGGTATAAATTCATAAAGTATTTATGGATGAAATAAGACAATGCTTTATATTTACTTTAAAATAATCCAGTGATGGGCAGGGATGGGAGCTTCCCTAGAGGGAGGGAGAGGGTACAGATAAGGCAAGATCTGCCAGATATTGGTAACTGTTGAAGCTGCATGAAAATTCATTATACTGTTTTTGGATTTTCTTCCATTTTTACCAGTGGGCACTGTGCATACTAGGGAAGAGGAGAAGGAGAGGAGAGGGGGAGAAAGAAAGCAAGAAAGGATCTCCCACAAGGAATGGTCACACTATAGTCTTGTCTCCATTTCTCCCTCCTTTCGAGATTTATACACATGAGCCCAGCATGTTTCTCTTTCCATTTTTTAAAACAATTATTTAATTGTATTTGTTATTATTATTTATTTATAATTTGACCAGAGAAAGAAAAGGAAATGAGGAAAGCAAGGTACCAGATTTGGGACTCAAACAATGATTGGCCATGTGAGAGTCCAATGCCTTAACTATCACGCTGACTGCTGGCCTGCCCAGCATGTTTTTCAAATAGCAGGGTCCAGGACTTGAACCACATGGTTGGCCATGTGGGATCCAGCTGACTCAGCTACCACAACATATAAGCTGGCTCTTGCTCTACTTTTATATGCTTGAAATTTTTCAAAATAAAATATTCTTAAAAGTTGTAGTATTATTATGACCTAAACTCAAGAGTATAAAGAAGCCAGAATTTCTGATAATTTGATGGATATTGAGCCTTGGCATTAGGCAAAATGAAATTATTTTGGGGAACCAGCAGTTAGCGTAATGGCTATGTCGCTGGACTCCCACGTAGTTGACCACGGTTCGCGTCCCGGACCCAGTGGCTTAAACTCACGCCGGGTGCGTGTGCGTGCATGCCCAAGATCCTAAGAGGAGAATGGAGGAGAAGGGATTGCGGCATGGCCATCTCCCCTGGGGGGTGATTTCTAGCTTTCTATCTCTGTCTGTCTCTGTCTGTCTGGCAAGCGCACGCACCCTATAGCAAAAAATCTCTCTCAAAAAAAAAATTATTTTTCAAGGACAATAGTATGCAAACCAGACATTAATGAGATGGTTAAAACTACCTAAGAAAAACAATCTATTCCTTTTTTTAATTTGTAATTTTTTTTAAATTGCCAGAGGGTATGTTTGCTCAGTAGAAAGAAAGAGAAAAAGAGAGACAGAGAAAGCACCCCTAATAGGGCATGGTCATATCACAATCCCTTCTCAAACTCCACTTCCCTAGCCCATCATGATTTGAGCATGCATGCATATGCACATGTTTTCAAGCCACTGGGGCCAGAATTCAAACCTCAGTAGGCCATGTGGGATCCACTTTGTAAGCACAGCGGTTAGTTAACAGTTGCAGTATAGGACCAGCTCCAAACTATTCTTAAATATTTAAAAACATAAACATCATATATTAGTATGTGGTTGCATATGGTTATTCAATCAGTAAATCAGTAAAACAAAACCTGGAAGAACCCCCACTGGTTAATATTGTTAGTTTATCTTATATATGCAGTTAAAAGTAAATACACATTATCCTGGTTTCCAAATTGTATTATATATCATTTGTATATCTGAGATGTATATTAAGACCATTCAGGTGGTACACTCTGTGCTAGGCTTTGGGGCATACTGTGGTAGATAGGTCCTGCTGCTCTCGTGGAGTTAACAGTCTTGCTGTAGAAAATGAAGTGACAGAAAACGTGCCCTGTGTTGTGAAGGAAACCCACTGTGTGCAATGGGAGCACATACTTGGCACTAATCTGCTTTATAGACTCAGGAGAGGCTTCCAGACTCACAGGCCTCCAGGCTGGCTAGGGGCTAGTCACAAGACCGGTCTAGGGTGGGGAGGGTGGAGGCAGATATGCAGCAGCAAAGTAGTATACACTCTGAGCACAGGCAGCAGCACTGCACAGGCCCTGCAGTGGTGAAGGTGGGTTTGATAAGGTGCAAGAAGTCCAAGAAGGCTCCAGCACAGAGCCTCTGAGGGAAAGAAGCATGAGAGGAGGCCGAGAGACAGGAAGCGTAGACTCCAATTGCAGTATGCCAGAGGAAAGATTTCTGTTTAATTAAAATGGGCAATGGAAAACTCTTAAACTTGGAAGCAACATGATTATAGCTGGGTTTCAGAAAGACTAAATAGGTGCCTGCCTATTTTGGGATAGACTGAGGTGGGTGGTGTAGGGTAGCCTGAAGAGACCATGTTAAAATTATCCAGGTAAGAGCTGATGGAAGAAAGAAGGCATACCTTCAAATATTCTGCAAAAATATATAATGCAGAATATTTACTAAGTTAATTACTTCAGATGAGAAGGGTGATTGCTTAAATAGGACATTTACCCAACTGAGGTTTATTCAAGCTTGATTCTATTCTATGAATTCTGAGGAATTGGGGCTGGAAGAGAAGAAACAAAAGAATATATAGTTTCTATAAAAAAAATTTTAAAAAGAGGTACAGGCAGAAATACTATTATTCAAATAGGCACATGTTGGAGGGAGGACAGGATTTGACTGGCTACCTGAAAGTGGAGGCGAGAAGGCACATCAGCCACTGGTACAGTAGGGTACAGCAGCATGGTGGGAATGGGAGTGACCAGAATGATGCCTGCCATGATGAGAACAGTTCACACACATTTTTTAAGTGAAGAGAAAGTGTGGATTAAGTATAATGAAGGAAAGGAAAACAAGATAAGGAAAGAAGTAGAAGGGAAAATTATCTTAACAGGTAGAACCACTGAAAGAAAACTATTGGGTAGTTAAGTTTAACTGCTGAAATAAAAAAATACAGATTCACAAGAAGTAAATTATCACTTATTCTATAATTAAAGAATTTATAAAGTAGAATCTTTACTTTTCAAAATCATCCTGTACATGTACATTTTTGAAAATTATACAAATTGGTTTTACTGACACTAAAATTATGTTAGCTTTGAACATATGCTTTGACTTTCACATGTCAAGCTTTACCTATGACAGAATTATTGAATTTTTTTTTCATTAGCACAGACTCACTCAGCAAATGAAATGCTTAAACATTCTCCAACAGTGAAACCCTTACTGTGAAACTATATAGGGACTCCAGCAGATTGAAAGAGTTCCTAAAATCCAACACTTTGGGGTCTTACGCTCCGTTTATGATTCATATTCTGGAGACCAGCAGTTAGTGTAATAGCTATGTTGCTGGACTCCCACGTAGTCGACCACGGTTCGCGTCCTGGACCCGGTGGCTTAAAACTCACGCCGGGCCCGTGTGCGTGCATGCCCAAGATCCCAAGAGGAGAATGGAAGAGAAGGGATTGCGGCGTGACCATCCCCACTGGGGGGTGATTTCTCGCTTTCTGTCTCTCTGTCTCTGTCTATCTGTCTGGCGAGCGCACGCGTCCTATAGTGAAAACCTCTCAAAAAAAAAATGATTCATATTCTGTACAAGTCAATAAGCTAAAAGAGTTTCTGCTGTCCAGGCCAAGAAAATATCTTCTTTCTAATGAATGAATGTTCCTTAAAATAAAGCTAGGCAATGCAAAGGCACAACAAAACAATAAACTCTTTTATCCACCCAACTAATACCATTGTATCTTCCATATACCAAAATCCCAAAGACCTTCTCAATTGAAAGTATCTTGTGCTTTATAATTTTGCAATTCAGGCCAGCAGGTGGCATGGTGGTTAAGGCACTGGAGGCTCCCACATGGCCAACTGTCATTCAAAAAGCTACAACTTACTTTCTGCTCCAGAATGACATTTCTCTCAATCATCTACACAGTCATTCACTTGTGCCTAAAGCAAGGCAGATGATAGGTGCTATTAGTTAAGACTTCTACTGAGTTGGGAATAGCACAAGACATGAGAGAAAAACAAATACAGGTATATTCCACAAATTATCTTATTAAAAAAAAAAAACAACCTCTTTTCAAGCAAAATATTAGAACCACCACATGTCTATCTGCTTACTTAGCACCTTCTTCTACTTTCTTTTCCTTGATATGAAGTCTGTGGGGTTTTTTGGTTTTTGTTTTAGAGAGATTTTTGCCATAGGGCACATGCACTCACCAGAGAGACAGAAAGCAAAAAAAATCACTCCCTAAGAGGATGACCATGTCACAATCCCATTTCCCTCTTGGAATCCTGGGCATGAGCCCAGGATATATGCCCCACCTGAGTTTTAACCGGCCGGATGCAGGACTTGAATGGCGGTCAAGTACATGAGAATCCAGTGACATAACCGTTACACAATCTGCTGGTCACAGGGTTTCTTAAATATTTTCCAGAGGACATGATCCCTTATCAGAGAGACAGCAACAGGGAGAGAAAGAGAGAAAGCATCTCCCTGAGGGATGGTATGCCACAATCCCCCTCTTACATTTCTCCCTCCTTTCAGGATTGTGGGCCTACATTCACATGCTGCTGATGTACTTTTTAAGAGCTGAGTCTGGTACTTGCACTTCACAGTCCCATGTGAGATTCAGTCGCCTTACCCACCACGCCAAAAGCTAGCCCGGTAAGAAATCTGAAGCGATGTCATCAGGGCAATGAATGCAGCAAGAGGGAGAATCCAGAGTATCAAATAGGAAATTCCCTCCTTCAGCATGTTATGATAACTGTGATTAAACATAAAGACAGTTCTTAAACAGAACAGAATTCTTACCCTGTGCAAAAAGTAGCTTCAAGATATAGTTCACTTCTTATTTAAGGAAATACAGAGCTCTACTCCATTTAGAGGCAGAGCTAGGATCCTACTCTTGGAAATGAAGAACAGGACCAGCCACACTGATTTCTCCTGTGCTCTTCTGAAACCATTTCTGTTTGGTTGATAGTAAGCTTGGCATATACTGAACATCAAAGGTGTAAAATAGGTGGCTTTAATACAAAAATCAAATAATCACAGACTTCTAGAAAGGACATGAAGGAAAGAATAAAGAGCTCTAGTCTGAGTTTTGCAAAAAAAAAAAAAAAAAAAACAAGCCCATGTGGAGAGGTGTGAGTCACTCAGCCTCAATTTTCTCATCTGTCAAGTAGGCATGAAGAAATCCTGCTCTATTCCACTACATAGTGCTCTTGTAAAAATTTAAAGTACTGCATAGCGAGATATGACAATGAATCCACAACCAGAGCAAATCTAGCTGTAGTTTTTTTTTTAGAGGTGTGTAATAAAATGGCTGCATTCTCAGAAGAATAGTTCACAACATGTTTTGGAAGTGACACTCACTTTGAGGTAAATAGTTTGCCTGGTTTGCCTAGAGTTCATTATCCCAACAGAAAGCCAAAAGAACATGTCAGACAATGGCACAGCAGTAACACAACTGGACCTACAAGGGAAAGGTTCTCGGTTTGCATCTCAGGACTTCCCTAGCAACTGGGTACACACATGCCTGTGACCCAGGCTGGCTGTGAGTGTATCATAGTGTGAAGACCCTATTGGGGTGCCTCTCTCTCTGTCTGTCTCAATCTCGTGAAATAGTATACTCAAAAAGAAAAAGAAAGCTAACCAGCCATCCAGTCAGCCAAAAGAAATGTAGAAGACCAACTGTTCTGAAAAAAAAAAAAAAAAAAACACGACAAGTGTTTATACTCCACCTCCCCACCATGCCTTCACAAGTGGCCCAATGATTTGGGATTTCTTCCTGTTCCAACCTTTCTCTTGCCTTAACATAATTTTCCTGCTCCTGTTTATTCAAGGATTACGATATTGTCTCTGAACTTTCCCGTTTAACCTATAAAGGTTCATCCTATAATTTTGACCAGCTCTTATATATCACTATTTACCATTCTATTTTATTGAGCGCTTGTGTAGAAGTAGAACAAATTCATTCTGATCTAACCCTGTTTAAACATACCTTTAGCAGCCCAAACTCCTGTATAGTCAAGCAGAAAGACTATAACTCTCCCACTGCTGGACTCCAGTCCTATAGAGCTAGAATGGGTTACAAATAAGCAGGACTGGAGCCAGCAGGCAGCATGGAGGTTAAGGCACTGGATCCCACATCACCAACTGCAGTTTGAGTCCCAGACCTGGGGGCTTGAAAAACACACGAGGTGCATGTGCATGTGTGCTCGAAGTCCCAAGGGGAGAATGGAGGAGGAGGTGTGACAACATGGTTACCACCCACTGGGGAATGATTTCTCACTTTTTCTATCTCTCTATGTCTCTACCTTTCTTCAGTGAATGCACACACCCTATAGCAAACTGAAAGTCAATAAATAAATAAGCAGGACTTCTTGGAATATCAGAGATTGCAGTGTCTGGAGTCAGTGGCTCTAGAAACCCGCAGGACTTCAAGAGACACCTTCAGTCCACAGCTATAATGACACCAAGCTAAGAATGCTCACTTCCTTTATTATTTGCCATCACAATTAATGAACTCTGAAAAGATGTGGCATTTTAACAACAGTTATTAAATAGGAGTACTTAGGGGAATAATGTAAGCATTATCTACCAAATAAACTTCTATCACCAATTAATTCTTACATTCTCACTCATACCTATCTATCACTTTTCACATTAAAATGATAATTCTTGTAACTCTAACAGGCAACAAAGACACTATGTGTATAAATTTTGCCCATAAAGATACCCCACATTTAAGAAATTAAAGTAAAATATGTATCATCTTTCAAGAATTTTTACAGAAAGTTTAAAAAAAAACTATTCTAAATATAAAGTCAAGGTTTTTGAAATTTACCTAATTAACCTGACAGCTTCCAGCTCCTCAGAAGTAAGTATAGAAGACATCTTTAGGAAAACCATGTTGAATGTGCAATCATCCAAAAGTGTCGCTGCCTTCTTCACATCACTAATGGTTATAGTGACTTCTGTATTTGAAAAAAATGCCTGAATGGTATCAGCCAGGTAGCAAACAGTGATATCTCCAACTAATAAGAGATCTATTTTTGCCTGAAAGAGAAGGAAGAGAGCAGAAGCCCCACATAATTAATACTGGGCACAGGAAAATGTTGTGTATGAGCAGATAAACACAGGTGATAAAATAACACAATGATTGACTCTATAGCTGAACTGTATTGTCAACTGTAAACACCTCAAAGATAGAGACTATTAATTTGATGTCTTCAGTACTCAGGGTAGTAAACGTCTCTGATTTTTTTGTTGTTTTAAATTTTGCTCACTGACACTATGCTTCCATAGTTTTCCTACAAATTTCTCTCATCTCATTTACAACAGATAGGATTCTGAGGACCCAGTTTCCCAGTTGCCTGATCTGCTGGGAAACTCTGTTTACTGTGAAGAGAACCAAACTGGTGATTCTCCCACGCAATTTTTTTTCATGAAACACATATTCCAAAGAACAGAAGAAAATCTAAATTCTTAAATCCTAAGAAACAATCAATGTCTTTTCAATGTAATACATATACTATTCAAATATTTGTATATTTGAATATTTTCCAATATTTAGAACTAAAGAGGCTCTTTATTTCCATGTAGGGGGTATTTCAAATTCAACCAGCTAGAAAATACACGATTTACATCTTTGCCTTTTACTTTTCTGTGACTTATTCTCTACAGAGAAAAACTACCGCCCACTATAAAAGCCAAAGAATGAGGATGCCTCAGTTAATGGAAAAGAAGACAACAGGAAATGTCAGCCTATTTACGGATCCACATTAGAAAACAGATTTGGGAGTGGACTAGAGTTGAAGCCCTAAGAAATGAGTTGAAGGAGTTGGAAACAGCTTAGACAAAAAGAAACCCAGCTTGCCAAAGGTGCAACTCTGCAGGGCAGAAGGCTAGAGTGGGTGGCTCACCCTTCCCCGTTAGCCTGGTTTCCTGAGGGTTGCAGGAAAGAACAGGTGAGGCCCAAGAAACCAGGTGAAATTTCCAAGTAAGCATATCTTCTGCACTTCTATCTCTTCACCTCGTAATTTTCTTCCTTCTTGATTGTTTTTAAGTAAGTCTTCCTTTCTCATTGCTCATCTCTCTCAATGCCATTGAAGGATCCCACTGTCAACAGGGTTTGTGTTTATCCTTCCAGACAATTTCTATGTCAAACATGACTGACACATGTATAGCTCTTTTTTCATAAATAGGGTATGACATTTTTCATAAATGGGATATTGCATTTTTTAAGTAAACTTTTTTCACTCAATAATACAGTTTAACAATTACACAAAAATTATGGCTCACTGATAACATTCTTTCTTATTTCCCAGGCTATTACTGATTTATTCGCTTAAAAAGGTTTTCTGGGACCAGCAGATGGAGTAATGGTTATGTCGCTGTACTCCCACATAGTCAACTACAGTTCGAGTCCTGGACCCAGTGATTTAAAACTCATGCTAGGTGCATGTTCATGCGTGCCCAAAATCCCCAGAGCAGAATGGAGGAGAAGGAACTGCGCTGTGGTCATCCTCCCTGAGGGGGTGATTTCTTGTTTTCTGTCTCTCTGTCTTTCCAGCAAGCATATGTGACCTTAGCAAAAATTTCTCTTAAAAAAAAATAGTTTTACAACATTTGTTGGCATCTGGGGTAGATATGCTCATTTATCATCCTTTTTTTTAAAAAAAATATTTCATTTAACTTTATTTTATTTATTTACTTTAATTTGACCAGAGAGGGACAGAGTATGAGAGAGAGAGAGAAAGTGAGAAAGCAAGCCACCAGGTTCAGGACTTGACCCTTGGCTGGCAATGTGGGAGTCCAGCACCCTTAACCACCATGCCATCTGCTGGCTCTCATTTATCATCTTAATCTAGTCTTCCTCATATCCAGTAAAAATAATTGAGAGAACCATTTTCCTAACATTGGATTTTATCATTATTACAATTCTGTGATGAATATATATATATATATATATCTTTGTGCAAATAAAACATATCCTAGAGTCAAAACTATAAGATTAGAATTTTTTCATTTTTGTTTTTTAACTTAGGTACTGCCAAACTATTCTCCCCAAAAGATACAAAAATTTATGTCTCCACCAATAGTATAAATGACTACTCATTTCCCCAAACCCCTAAAAATAGATTATCCCTTCAAAAATGTTAACAGTATTATGAGGAAAAAACTTTTTCTTTTTATTGGCATTTTTTATTAATTGTGGAGTTTAGTAGTTTCATTGGCAATATGCATTTCTATTTCATATTCTGTTTATTATATGTGTCCACATATTACCTACGTCTGTCTATTTGCGATGTGCCTTTTTATTATTCTGAAGGAGTTCAAATATTCTGGATATCAGTCAGCTATTATTTTCTAATCTATCACTCAACTTTTCATTTTAATTATAAGGTCTCTTGTCATAAATGTTAATACTTAGTAACAAATCTACCATTTCCTTTATGGCTTTTAAATTTGGTCTTGCTTTCAAAGCTATCTGTTTATGTTAAAATATGTTTTTACAGAGTATTGTAATATTTTTATGGTTTTATATTTTGCATTTAACTTTTTTTGGAAGAAAGATTTTTGCTATAGGGCAGATGAGCTCAACGGGGACACAGAGACAGGGTAGATGGTCACATCTCAATCCCTTCCTTTCCATTTTCCTCTTGGAATTTAGGGCACTCATGCACCTGTGCCTAGCTTGAGTTTCAAGCCACCCAGTCCAGGATTCAAACCATAGTCGATCATGTGGGAGTCCAGTGACTTAACCACTATGCTATCTGCTGGCCCCTACATTTAGCTTGTTATCCACTCTGAAATTTATTTAGTGGTTAACATGAGATAGCCATCTGATTTATCTTTTTCAAATCCAGAGCTAATTGTCCCAACAGTATTACTGAGCAGACTAAACTCATGGTGTTTTCAAATGTCATGGGACAAGCATGTATGCGCGTGCACTTGTGTGGATTTGTGGATTTCATTCTAATCCTTTGATCTGTTTGCCTATTCATGGTTAAAACCCCACTGTTTAACTACTAGCTCTTTATGGTATGTCTTGATATTTGATAGAGCATTTGTTATTTTTCAATTTGCTCCTTAGATATTTTCCCAAAATTTCTTACCCAACAGAATCTTAGTATCAGCTTTGATTACAGTTGCATTAATCTTAAAGGTTAGTTGGGTAATATCACTGCTTTATGAAGTCACCCTATTTAGAAAGTATGACTAAGAGAATCTGAAGTCTTTTAAAGTTTTTAGTTTTATGATTACTTCCATATAAATGTTCCATGTGTCCTTGTATAGTTATTTCTAGATATTTCAACATTAGGAGGTCATTGTGAAGAGGATGTTTTTTCTTACTAACTACATTTTCTGATTGATTGATTATAGTTGACATATAGAAGAATATTGATTTCTATATAAGAAACTTATTACAAGTACTTTATGGTACTCTATTCAGTCCCATATTTTAGTTGATTCTTTTCAATTTCCTAGGTAGATATCTATATTGTATAAAAATGACAATTTTGTCTCTGGTCCAGAATTTATGCCTTTAATTATTGATAAAGCATTGGCTAGAATATTCAAAACAAAGAGTAAGAGCAAAATGACCAAGCATTCTTACCTCGTTCTTGCCTTTACTGAGACTATTTCAAATGTTTTTATTAATACACCTGATACTTTCTGAAGGTTTCTCCTCAGTATCTGGTTGTTTTTTTGTTTGTTTTTTTGTTTGTTTTTTGTTTTTTGTTTTTTTAATAGAGACTTTCTTGCAATTGAGTGCATGCACTCACCAGGAAGACAAAATGCAAGAAATCACCCCATGGGGAGGTGGCTATGCTACAATCCCTTCTCATCCATTTTCCTCATGGGATTTTGGGCATGCATGCACACATACCAGAGTGAGTTTTAAGCTTCTAGGTCGGGGACTCGAATCACGATAGACTACATGGGAGTACAGTGACATAACCATTACACTATCTGCTGGTCCCCTGATCAGTATCATTTACCAAGTTAAAAAATCATTTCTCAGGGTGAGCCACATAACATAGCCATCACTATGCAGAGTTAAATACTGTGTATAGGAAGGTGGATCCTAAATGGCAAACCACAGTGTGAATCCCAATCCTGCTAGCTTGAAAAGCAGAGTATGTACGCATGCCCAAAGCTTTAATGAGATGAAAAAATGGAGGAAAAAGACTGCACCGAGACTGTGCCCCACTGAGGGATGGTTTCTCTTTCTTTCTCAGTGCACACACCCTCTAGCAATATATATATTTTTAAGTTTCTACTTGGAAGCTAAGAATTACAAGTCAGAATATTCATTTATCAAATTCTTTCCAGTATGAACATGATTACTTTATTATTTTTTATCCTTTAATCTTTTAGGTAGTGAATTACATTAATAGATTTCCTATGTCAAGTCATCCTTGCATTGCTGGGATAAATCTATTCATAATATGTAACAGACTCAATTCATTTGTTTTAAGAATTTTGCATCTATATTTGTAAGTGAAATTGGATACAATTTTGTTTTATTGTACAGCCTTTCCTGGCTTGGGTATCAGGGTTATGCCAGCATTGAAGAATAAAGTGGAAAGCTTCAATATTAACCCATGATCTTGAATACTTTATAAGACACAGAAATTTTGTGCTTCTTGAAGTTTAAAACAAGTCTATAAAATCTGGTCCTAAAGACATATGAGTGGGTCTTAGACTACCCTTTACGGTCCTTAGAGATTACTTGGAAGTTTAAGTTTTCCAAAGCTTAAATGAATGTTGCCACATATATTTTAAAAATGCACTCCATCTATATTTTCAGATATAGTAATCTATACATATATATAATTTTTATTACTGGCACTGAGCTAATTTTTCTAACTTTAGAAATATTTCATCAATTTTTTATCTTTTTTTGGTAATACTTTCCAGAGACTAGAGAACTGTGTAAACCAATACAGTAGGCACATATGGCTATTTCAACTTACATTAATTACAATGAAATAAAACTTGAAATCCAGGTTAGTTGCTCTCGCCAATTTCAGGAGCCCAATATCCAC